CCCTGGAGCAAAATGAGGGTTTCCAGTCACTAAGCCAGCACAGAAACCAGTTACTGATGTGTGTCCTGCCACGTCACATTTACAAAATATGGCCAGTGTAGATGAAACACTTCAAGCCAGTTGTGAGCTGGAGCTTTTAATTTTGGGTGCATTTATGAGGTACCTGGGAACTACAAATACAAGCACTTCTATAAAGCAATTAAGATCACAGTCTGAATTTCATGTATCATCGCAGCTATTCAAAGAAGTTGAACTGTGCTACAAAATCACAGCAACTGAATTTGAAGGTTGGGTAATGATGGAGCATGTGGACTGCCCTGCTTTTCACCGTCAGAACAAGAGAGAGGGACTCGGACCGTCCATGTTCCCTGTCCCAGCATCCTTCTCTTCCGCTTGACTCTCCCTGTGCTGACAACGCTGACTGCTCCCAACGTGACACTGGCTGTAGCATCACTGTCCAGCCATTCCCACATTTGCAACTGCAAGAAGTTAATCTCAACACATAAATAAATGTTACAGAGTTCCTGTGCGCAGGGCATTTGTTAGTGCTTTAAAAAGCCTGTGTTTTGGTAAGAGCAATAAGAAGTTGCAATGGAAACTGCCTAAACATGATGATAAACTGGTGGTTTCACTTTTCAGTTCTTAGCTGGCACCAACATTAAAAGCTGTGGTGAAGAACAAAAAGGAAGCAAGAGAAATTGTAAAGAAAATACTAAATATTGGCTCTCCTGTGTTTTCAAAAGACAGTAAAAGTGAGAAAAATTCCAGCATGTCCACAAAAGTGACTGTGTACACTACCATTATTGCTATTAGAAACTATTTAAGGGTCTGCAAAACAAAACAAAAAAAAAGGTTGGAAAGCTGCTGGTTTGTGAGCATAAGGTGCTTGTGCTCAGCAGCTCCATTTCTTCCATGCTGTCCCCATACGTCACGGTAAAGTACGGTGCTGGAAAACACAACGCATGGGGATGGGTGTTGAGAGACCCGGCACCGCTGTTTTCCTAGAAAGGAAGACTGAGAGAAGCTTAAAAAAGAAATAGCTGGGGCAGAGGAACAACATCATCTTTGTCCCGTGCACAATAAACAAAGACAAATGCTCTGACAGTGAACAGATATTTGAGAGAAATGAGGGCAGTCGGTCGCAGCGCTGCCAGGCAGTCTCCATCACAGGACTTTGGGAAGAGGGCACCCACAGACAAGTTGGGTCGTGTCCCTGGGGTGGAAAGCCAGGACCTCATGGACCTGCAGTGACCACAGGTGCCAGCACTGCGGGCTGTTCCTCATGTGCAGATACCTGAGTGCAGGGGTAGGGATGCCTCACCACCCAACAAGGGGAGTGGGAGTGCCCACCATGGCTCAAACCCATGGCAAAATGGAATGGGACGGAGGGATGCGCTCATCAGAGCAGGCGATGCCCAACTTGGACATCAGAGCAAGGCATTGCTTTGGAGAAGGGAAAACCCCACTCTGTGTGCACGCATCCTCCAAGAAATAAAATGTGGATGGAAAAGACGCATCTGGCTGATGGGATGTGGCTGCTGTGCTCCATGAGTGCATCACGGCTGCATTTTATCCAGTCCTTTAAAGTGATGAGGTTTGCCCCTTGATGCTGCTATGGAAGGAGCTCCACATGCAGACCTGGGATGATGTATTGCCCATCCAGCTTATTTTTCTTTATCAACAGAATGAAAATGTTTTCTTAAAAGAAAAGCCTAGCTGGCAAAACAGCAACTTTTAATGGGCACCTGTGACAGGCTACTGTGTCGGTGAGGAATGGGCAGCTTCCCAACCCTGTCAGCCCCTCCTCCCCTTTGCCTCTCTGCTCCTCAGGACCGGGCTGGGAGGACTGGGATGGAAAAGAGCTCCTGGCCCCTCACCTTTGGCCATCCAGGACACACCAGTGCAGCTTTGTCTACTGTACAGACCACTGCTGTGTCTTGTCTGGCTTTAGTTCCCCTCGACACCTCTTTTTGCCTGCCTTTTTTTTTTTTGCCATTATTTTTTTCTTTCTTATTTTACTTTATGTTGATCTGAGTAAATGTAACTGCTGATTCCCAAGCAGAAGTGGTGGAGGGCAGTGAGGTACGCTGTGTCCCAAGCAGGGCACAGGGCAGGCAGGGTGCAGCTCTGCCCAACAGCCAGTGCCCAGCACAAAGCCTGACTTGGCCCATCCAAGGCTGGCACCAAGGTGGGTGTTTGGACCTAGAAAGTGGTGGGGGATGACTTTTGGGATTACTGGGGAAAAACTGGAAGATTTTCGGAAGGGTATTAACTGCAAAGAGAGGCACAAACACCTGGGACTGTTGGCTTCACTGTTAGTTTGCACAGGTACCTGTGGCAAAAAGGACACAAGAGCTCATCCTACAGAAGCACCAGGGTCATGCTGAGCATCTGATACAGCCCAAGCAATAAATAATGTGATCAGTAAACAGCCTGGGAGAGAGTGAGCAGCACATCCAGGCCCAGTCTTGGGAAATGACTAAGCACTCTGCCATGCACTGCCTGCCTTTCCCCTTCCTTTCCCTGGCTAAGCATCAGAGGAGGTGAGAAGGGGTGGCCAAGCCTCAACATCTGGTCATATGGTCTCAAGTTTCTGGCACCTGTACCCTGCCCAATCCCTTGAGTGGAAACCTCTGTCTCTCACCCATCCCCAAGCTTCACCAGGCAAACTGGAAATGTGGATGCAGGATGCCTTCCTCTCCCAAAGTCTCTGTCTTTAAAACAATGCAGAAAGGACTCTCTTTTTTTCGTTAAAAGATTCAAACTCCACAGAATCTTTACTCTTCCCCCCGCCTGGCCGGCACCAGACAGCTATGCTGCTCGTGCTCAGCCTGTGCCGTGGTGGGGTGATGCTGCCAGTTCCGAATTCCCACGTGGTGATACGCACAGTTGGAAAGAGGCGTTTTGGGAGCTGTCGTTTGTTGCTCTTCCTTTTCCACAACAACAATGGAGGTATTTCCTACCCACACCCCGCCCCTGCCCCATGTTTCAAAGAGCAGCTTTTGTTCTGGAGAAGTATCGCCTTGTACCAAAATGCGTTATTCTGCAGTAAATTATCTTAAGATAGGGACCTCTCCCGCCAGATGTTTGTCTTGGAGCCGCTCCCCAAATCCTGCGACAGAAATGAAAGGATGGGAAAGGGGAGGCACATGTGACAGAGCAGAGGCTGATGCAGTTTCCAGACCAGCACTGTCTTCCATCACCAGCAGCACAGCAGGTCCCCAGGATTCGAGGCAGAGTCAGCCAGATTTCCATACCCTGTGTCAGGTCAGGACAGGTCACTACCATTTGGAACCCCCTCCCAGCACATAAAATGTGACTCTTTCCTCCCCTGCAGCAGTGGCCGAGATGCAGCCCGAGCACAGGCTGTATCCAGCAGCTGCTGCAGAGCTGCTGCAGTGAGCAGCCTGCAGACCTTCAGCCTCCAGAGATTTTAGTTTTTCCCCTTTTCCAAACTCCACACATTTCCCCCTTGCACTCCATGGCATCACATTCCATTTACTTTCATTTTAAAGGCACAGCTTGATCTTACACCTTATCCTGATTTTTCCCGATGATGCACAGTTGCCTCTCTGTCCATGGGGCTCCCCAAGCCAAACAAAATCCTCTGGAACGTCTCTGAGCTGCCAGGGAGCTTGGAGCACCCTGGGCACGGTAAAAATGCAGCAGAAACCTCTTGATCTCCATTTATTTAGCCATATGAGGTCCTCATAACTCCCAGCCATTCAGACAAGCCTGCGCAGCTGAGGAGGTTTTACTTCTTCCACCCTGCTGCACAGGGGGTCTCTCTTCTCCCCCCCACAGTGGCCCACGGATCTGCTTCAAAGAGTTAAGGGAAAAAAATCTCCAAACTATGAAATTCTGGACCATTTCCTCAGTGTCTTGACAGCACTCTGTTTGCCTGCTTAAATTACAGTTTGGCAATCAAGGTTGCATAAGTGTTGGTCCAGTGCCTAGAAAACATTTTATTTTAAGAGGACTGTGACCCACCAAGGTCTCTTGCACATCCCTTTTCTCATTTTTCAGAAAAAAAAAAAGTGATTTATAATACCACAGTGGCAAGCATCTGCTCTTTTTTTTTCCTAAACTTTTAATCTGTTTAAGCCAGGAAAACTTCATAATGTACAATTTTAAACTGACAAAATTTACAAAACAAAAGGAGTCAGACTTAAAACAGGTCATAACTCACAAATATCCCCATTAAAACTGTATAATACAGACATTAAGCCTCCTGTAGAACAAATTTAAACCACAGGTCACTTTGCTATTTTTAGGAAAGTGTGCAAAGAGCTAATTGAATAATACATCTAAATGTTAAAAGTTATACCATGTAAGCAGGTCTGCTGCTGCTATAAAAAATATACAAGTATAAAATTACTTCTACAAAATTGGTTCATTGATTTTGTTGCTTGTAATAAAAAAGTAGACTTTAAGAACCTTCCTCCTCCACAAACAACAATATTTTGAAACCAGTCACTGCAACTGCTACTTACACAGCATGAAACATAATTTTCCTAAATCAGAGAGTGGTAAGGAGACTGCTTGTTCCAGGACATACATCTGAATGCATAGATATACTGCCTGATGGTGTGGTTGTTGAACAGTAGAGCCGTTGTACCATTGCAGGGTGGAATGAATGCAGGTGTCTCAAGACTGCTTTCTCTGATACTACAAATGATAGCCTAAGGACCACAACACAGTCACTGAGCTACTCATAACATTACACATTTCTTTGCTGTTTGCACCAATGCACAACCTTTAGCGTTCACTAAACACTTAACAGGTAGAGTGGATGATTCCTACACAAAATACTCAGTTTGGTTTGGTCAAGAAAGGAAAGGAGAGGGTATATTGTTCTCTTTTTTCTGGGTTTTCCTTCGGCTCTGTCACCTTCCCAGATGGTGAATGTGGGCTGGCCGTAGAGGGCTGTGGCAGCTGGCTCGTGCTCAGCCACACACGCAAGCACACGACGGGTCCTCGGCACCGGGATTCCTCTCTTGTCACTTGGTCCCACACGTGTTGATGTTCTTCCCATCGGCAGCATCCTCCACCAGCGAGATGTGGTAATCGGTTGAAAGCGTGAGGTGGGAGATGCAGCCCACCAGCCCCCGCATGTACTGCCTGTTCGTGTGCAGGGCTATTTCCTTCATGCCACCTGAGGGAAAGGCAGCAATGAGAAACTCTTCACCGACACGGGTGTCTGCTTCTGCCTGGCAGACAGCACATCCAGCAATGCCATTAGCCTTCCTAGTGCATTTTCAGAAGCGAATTTTAATTTACAGGTTGTTCTGTGTTTTCTTTAAATACAGCTTTTAAGCACTTTAAAGTACAGAGGGGATAAGCAGGAGATAACAAACTAGGATGCTAATTATTTACTGCAGGAATGGTAGCATCAGTAAGAGCCAAATAAGCTTGTGCCCAGATTCCCACTACGGTGTGTGCTTTGCAGCTGCCACCCTCTGTTTCGGTGTACCTGCTGAGGCTACCACAGTGCACTCCATGGTCCTGGTCTCTTCTCCCATCAGTCCTCACCATCACACCCAGAGAGACCTCCCCACAAAAGCCAGGCTGTGGAGGACCAGAGGCTGCTCCATGAAGACTTCACTTTGAGACGGGTGGAGCTGGCATGTCCTGCCTTGCAGCTGACTTTGCAAACCCAAAAATGCATCTGGATCTTGAATGTGAATGGTGAGCACTCACCTACATAGAGATCTCCATTGATGTTCAACTGCCTCATCTTCCCAGGGGATTTACCAGTCCTGGCACCATAATCGTCCACAGTTACTTTGCCAGACTGTCCATCCCTGAAATGAGAAACGAATCACTCTCATCCATTCAAGCCTACAACCCTGAGGGAAGAGGAGCAGCAGCATCTGCCCCTTGCCAGGAGATCAGGGTGACTCTGTGCTCAGCAGGGTTCACAGCAAAGGCTTGTGATGTTGGGGGGCCCCACAGACAGAAGCGTGCTACAGCAATCCAGACCCTTCAGGGTTGAGTTTTTTCCAGGGACTAAGATGTCAGAGACTGGCAAAGGGTGTGGGACACATTTGCAGAGGAGAAAAGAACTGGGGAAGAAGTAAACTGCACAGCTGGGGGAGAGGGCAAGAGAATGGTTCTGAGGTGTTGTTAAAGATCAGGTGTAATATAAAAAGCAAATAGCAGAAGATTCAACAGAAGTGAATAAATAGGCAAGCGAAGGTAAAACACGCTTATTACCAGTTTTGTTTCATAGTAGAGCTTTTAGGCCACTTTCATTTTGTATATGGTCAATGACCATGCTGACAGAAGATGCACTTGATGAGCACCTATTCTCACTGAATTTGGCAAGAAGTTGTGCTAATGTCAGCCTGAGATTTCCAGGGAACCAGCATCTCATGAAGAGAGGGATATGTGCCTTCCCTGATGGGCACACTTGCCTCCCATGAGGTAATGAGTTATATATATGAGTTATATATACACTGCAAGATGTCTGCACCTCCTCCAAATAGCAAAAGTAGGCGTACACTGTCTGTGCTCCAGTTCTTGTGAAAGCCCGCAAAATGCTCACTAGGGAATTTCAAAATGCAGACATTAAAGAAAAATACTCTTAACCCAAAAGGTATGGGTTTAATAGAATGTCTGTCACAGCCCCAGAATAGCCCTGCGTGACTTTGGCAGCCTGCCTCGAGCTGTGCTGAGCTGGCACTGTCACCTTTAATACAATAATTTTCATGTACATTGTCCTGAAACAGCCAAGTTGCTAACAGTTCCACTCCTAAGCGATCTGAGAGCATGGAGCTGCAGTGATTCACATCCGATCATCATCCAGGCACACCAGCCAGCACCTTTAATGGCAGGGAGGCTCTGAAACACCTCCCAGATGAAGCGTGGCCACTTACCTAACAGCCTTGACTCTGTGCCACCGGCCATCGCTGAAAGAGCCGTTCACCGTGATGGAAGAAATGCCGCTGCCCAAATTGTAGCTACAATTAAAGAAAAAATTAAAATGTTGCCACCTCCCTTGCAAAGACCAGTTGCCTGCTAAATTCCTCAGACATCCTCACGCTGTACCCCAACTGCTTAGCCCCTAGTGCTCCCGTTATGGCTCGGATACTGGGAGCACCAGTGGTCTCCTTGGAAGCCCAGCAGAAGTGCACTCATTTTGCAAAGTCAGGCTCATGGAGCAACAGGCAAAACTCCCTCCTGCCCAGGCGAGTGTGGATACCATCACCACCACCCCATGGGAGCAAGAAGGAGGCATGGCAGTTCCTCTCCAAAACAGGTTAAGAAGGTCACTGACCCACATACATTTGGCCTAATGGGAGAGAGCAGTGGTAGGTTGCAAATGTGGTTAATAAATAAATTATTACAAGAGTAAATATGCACTTGACCTATAACAGATCTATGAATCATCTGAATTACAGGGAAGGTTGAGACCTGTGATGTTAGAAAGGATGAAGCCTGAAAAATACACACACAGAGATAATCATGAAGTTTCCTGCTTCAGTTGCAGCTCTGATTATTTCTTTGTGTTTGCTGCTACTAAAATTACCCAGAAGACATAACATCCCCATTATGTTTACACTCCAGGTATCTTAATTTCTGGGTTCAAGAAATCTGGGCCAGCCTTCATGATGGGGAAGTGGATGCTGCAACACAGCGAGCTATTGGGTGCTCAGCTGCCGAAATAAGCAGAATTAAACAGTCTGAGCTGCTGCTGCTGGCCCTCAGTCTGTGCCAAGTAGAGAGATTAAGTCAACACCATCATCTCGTCAAAGAAGGCTGAGCCTGGAATTAAGTTCATTGCCAGGGTTAGGTACTTGAGCACAGCACGTTAAGCCGTGAGCTGCCCAGAGCAAAACAGTTGTCTGAAATTTGCCTCCTGCCCAGAGGTTTAAGTGAGTCTCAAACAAGCATCTCCTTTTACCCAGGATGCAGATACCAGTCTAGGTTGAGAGCTACAGGAGGATTTGGGTGTTCAGGATTGTAAGTAAGTGTTAAACTTTTGGTTACAAAAATGAGATTCATAACCCTAATGAATGAGCATCCCCTAAAATAGTGATATAACCTTCTACATAAGCAGGGAGCAACAGAAAGGATTTACAGCAGCGGTTACATTGTATAGGGAACCTACTCTGGTAGGCCACAGAAAATGGGAACGAAAAGGTGTATTTTAAATTTCAAACTAGACCAGAACACATATACCTAATTTTAGGCTGCTGGAAAATACTTTTGATCAATTCACAGCCCTAATAGTCTCTTCCTTTTTTTTTTTTAAACTGCATTTTCCTTTCTCCATGTTCTTCAGTGCTCCCTTTTCAGTATGCAGTGATTGTTTGAGAGTTTTAATTTGGAATCTCAATTTTTCACCTTCTTAAATGCATGTGGAAGGTACAGATATTTCAATAAAATTCAGCTGTTTTGGTCTAAAACCTTTGTGTATCTTTATCTCTGTGGGACAGCAACAAACTTAATAAAAATGCACTGTGCCTAGAAAACAGACAGAATAAAGCAGCCATTTACTATCCGGCATCTTGGAAAGACAGGTTCTCTCAAAGACATTGAAAAATGAACCATTTCTGCAGTCAGTTCCTAGTTTATAAAAAATGAGGAAACAATGAGTTTTTTCAAAGTTAGTCACAGAAAATCACATTTAAAAAAAGGCTAAAGGGAATTAATTTGAATAGAAGTGTGCAACTTGTCTATGTATCCATGGTAGCAAAACCATTCAAGTAAGACAAGTAAAAGATAGTTTCAAATTCACTTAAACTATTAACACAATCTTTTTCATTTAATCAAGTGTCTCACAATAATCCATAATAATGATGACATTTGTAGTTTGCTGTTTCAGTATTTGTCTTATACAACCTAAAAGGGGATCAAGAGGAAAAACAGGGCTTTCAAAAGGCAGGAGTCCCAAAAAAGCACCACAAAAAAACGTTGCACGGAGTCTGCCTAAGCGTCTGCAAGGGAGAAAACAATCCTGGAGAAAGAACATGATTTCAGCCAAAATTTCCCAACACTCCCTGATTTCAGCATTTTGACAGTAATATAATTTGTTAAACAAGTGGTTCTGTGGATGGTGGCAATAAAGCCCGGTGACAGTTGGGTCTGTGTCACCAGGCTGGGTATTTGGGGGTTTGAGAAGGTGGGAGCCCTGCTCCATGTGGACTCAGCAGTGAAGGGTGAGACTTTGGGGGTCAGCAAGGCTTTTCCTCAATCCCTGCTCCCTCTTCAAACCCTGCACCCACTCTACTTAATTGAGATGTCAAGTACTGCAAAAGGCATGGGGGGAGGTACTGAGAGTGCTCATACCCTCATCAGCTGACTTCTAGAAAATCACTTTAGAAAACTGATGTTTTAAAAACTGGGAAGGAGAGAGAGAGAGTGAGGGAAAGATGCAAAGCACATTACCTTTTCCACTCACATCCTTTCACAGACAACAACACACATCACTAAACAAAGCACTGAGGATGTAATTATCTCACACAATTACATGTGCTGGGACAATTTCTTTGAGCCCTGAGTGCACTGCGTGCAATGTAACTAAGGGAGAGAAACCTTACCTGAATATTAATGCTCCTTCTTGAAGGCCTAGAGAAATGAAATCACTGTTAGGTCGCATGGGACTGTCTCCTCTCCACATCAAAAGACCTTCCTTCATTGTGGTTTTAAACCTCATGAACACATTTGTTCTGGATCCTGACAGCCTGTTCAAGGCAGAAGAAAATAATAGTAAAATATTTAATTGGGACAGTCTTATTTCAAAAAAACCCACATATAAAATAATGCAGCATTTCTTCTTCATTGGTCTTGTAGGTTACTGTCTTGCAACTCACCTATAGGCTGATGTGTGAGGGACTCTGGTTCACATCCCCATTTCCATAATTTTTGGAGTAAGGGAATTGAACTTGTCCCTCCAGTATCCTAAACACAACAGCTACTCAGTTATTCCACACAAATTAGAGAAAACCCTTTTTCTCCCCAAGCATAGTGTGAAATCCAGTCCAAAAGAGCAAATTTTGAGAACATCCCGTAGATTTGGTGCCCTCAGAAGCCAGCTGAGGAAGCATAAGAAGGACAAATCAGAAAGTCCTGGCAAGTGAGAGGCATTGAGCTGCAGGTAAGAACATTTGCTATGCCTCCTCCAGACAGTGGCTGAAATACAGGCAGATGGAGGAATTCCTTGAAACAACCCACAACTTGCTGGAATTTGGGCACCTTCTAGGGTACAGAGCAGCCCAAAAGTAGTTTGAGGACCTAAATTTTAGGCTAAAGCAGGAATTAAAATCTTTAGTCTCTTTACATATACAGCGTCTGTATTTCTGTTCTTTGCTCTTGGAAAGTACATACCAGTTCTTCTCCATGCCAGACATACATTGTGCATGCCATTTCTCTACAGGTTGCAAGATGCTCAGATATTATGACAAACTGAGCCATAAGCACATGCATAGAAAATGTATTTTTTCCTGAAATTTATAAATATGGCAAATACAGCTTAAAACACATGAATATACAATATGAAGCTTCTAGCATTATAATGGTTAACAAACAGAAAATTTATGTTCACAGGAGATACATTACCTTTTCAAGATATCTGGATTATCATATGTGAGGTAACTGCGACCAATAAATTGTGGGATTTCAATTGCTTCTGTAATGGCTAAAAAGTAGATAAAAGAATGAAGATGAGTGTCAGCTGACACAGAAAGGGAAGGAATAAAAAAAAAAGACAAGTCTGTTTTCCTGATTTACTCCCACATTAGCAGGTACCTGCTGGTGGCACAGAACTAGCTGAACTCACACTAGTTTGCAAAAAGGCACCACCAATTCATACCTAAACATAGGGGCAGCATTTGAGATAGCTTTAACTGCTGACTCTCCCTCTACTTACAGCCTTCATGGGCCTGATATATTGCTCCACCATAAATGTTGGCGCAAGAGAATATAAAGTATTGGAAAAACATTGCAGATTTTATTTTTAACCCTGTTTCCACATTCCTTGATTCTCCGTGTGGCTCAAGACACCCTCCTACCAAAGCTTATGCATTAACCACTCCTTGCTCTTAGTCTAAGAAACACCTTCCTAGCTTCCAATGGAGCACCATGTGCAGCACACATGCTGGGGCCTCTCACCCCTGCAAAGCAAGGCCAGGAGGCAGCACCCTGTGAGCTCCCCATTTGCTCCTTCTGTGGATTTGACTCCACACAGAGCGTCTCTGTGGTGCAATGTGGCGGGAGGCTGTCTCTGGGGAGAACACACAGGGTGTCCCTAATATTTAGGTCTATTGAAAGCAACTACAGGCTGTATGACAGAGGCTGCACAGCCTCTTGGCATGTGCATTTGACACTGCAGTGCTGCCTTGGAGGGTGTTTTGCTCAGAGCTCACTGGGGTCCCACACACAGCATCTCCCTCTTCTCTAGGGGCAGCCTCCGGTACAGCTCTCCTGTGCAGCTGCTGGGACAGCAGCACTGCATTGCAGTGAGACCTGGAGCTGGTGTACTGCTGCCCAAGGAGAAGATTCTGGCAAAATAAATCAGACGTGTGATATAAATCACAGAACATCCCTGACACACAGCCTTTGGTAGACTATGAGCACTGGCCTTAACAGATTTTCTTCCGAGTGAACTTCCTACAGTTTGCTGCTGATCTCTCATAACTGATGGCTGCATTAATATAAGCCAGTGTTATAAATTCCTTAAAATAACTGCTTTCATCCTATTTTCTTTCTGAGAACTAATCCTTTCAACCCACAGCTAATCCTATCTATATAAATTTCAGGGCATGGATGCTTGCTTTCTTCATGCAACGCAGAGGCTGGCTGGGCTTTAAGAGCTCACTGCAACACAGATACGCAACAATTGGTGTAGTCTGGCAGCCAACAGCAATATGAAATTTAGCTCCAAGTGCCAAGACTGAGAATTTTAGATAGTGACAAACGCCTGTTTTCATCCGTAGTGAAACCAGAAAAGCTGCATAATGTGACTCAAGAAACCCCCACAGGCAGGCCACAGCCTACAGCCTGCCAGCGTTGCTGGAAGATTGCAAAAGAGGTGTTACACTGGGCCAGACATTCCTGGCCAGCTCTGAGGCTTTCTGCACTGCACAGTCCCTGACCACGGCGGGTGGCAGCAAAGCCTGACCGGAGTCCTTCATCTCCCATCACTTCCCACACCCGCACTACTCTTGCTTTCACCAGGGGAAGGTGCCCGTGCTGTGCAGCAGTCTCTGCCCTCTTCTGATTTCCTTTACAGAGTCCAATGGGCATTTATCTCTGCTTGCTCTTCTGTATGCTCTGCACTTGCTGCACTGAATTTGACTGCAGAAAACCAAGTAAATTTTAGCAGTACGCTTGATGCATGCAAGAAGATCTTTGCAACTGGAAGACAATCAGGCCAGTAGGGAGATCTAGCACTAAACGCTTTCACTCTCTGCTCCCCACAATTTGTCAGAGAGGCACCAAACCTCTCATGACAAGCAGGAGTGAGCTCTGAACTGCACTGCAAGCTGAAGTAGCCCCTACCCCTACAAAGCACTCAGCTGTCTGCCTGGCCCCACTGCTTTGTGAATACAGGGGCCAGCTCTACACTCACCGCTCTGCACTTGGAAGGTACTCTGGATGCAGTTCAAAATATCCACAGTACAAGGTTTAAGGAAGTACTATATAACCCCAGAAAATATTTTGACTTATAGACAGAAAGTTGCCAGGCTTAAAGGAAATCCAGCATCCAGCTTGCAGACACAGACGCACAATGACAGAGCAGTTTTCACATCATTTGCAGTACTTACTGTTTAGGCAGTAACTTCCACACTCTGCAGTGAGTCAGCACAAAACAAAACAAGAACATTCTCATTTTATTTTTCTATAGCATTAAAATCTCCCTTCATCTAGTTTCATGTCCACCTTTCTGCAAGTCTGTGATTCCCATTTTCCATTTGCATAAGCAATTATAATCACCAATGAAGGTGATTATTATTGTTCAGCCCCAAGTATTTATATCTCCCTCCTCAAAACACACAAAGGTGGAGACAGGTGGAACCAAATCCCTCTGTTGCTTCTAGTTTTCAAATCCCAGTCACTCACCATGTTTTACCCAGGGATCTGCTCTAACCAGGGGAAAGCAAGAGTTTGCTGTTCTTCTCCATCTTACAATTAAGTATAAAACTACCTTTAACACAACTTGGACAGAAGATATAAAATGCAGCAATGCTAGCAGAAACTCTATTGAATCCTCGGCCAATTATTCATTATGATAGGAATCAATATATCATATACCTTGTACCAGCATGATTTGAATTTTGTAAGTGTCATGTACAATTTTGGAGACTAAGGCACAATCTCTCACAAGCACTTCGTTTTTTCAGGGCATGGGGTTGCAGCAGCCCACCAGCAAGCAGGATGGAGACTGCATCTTAAGCCCTCACATACCAGCTGCGCTCATTAACCAAAACCCTGTTCTGAAACAGAAGCAGACACACATGCATCCTGCCTTAGCCATGTCTACATCCTACTGAAGAGATACAGGTAAGGGTTATTTTAAGAAATCTGCTCCAGGTTCATCAAGGCTTGTCACGGACGGACAAGATTCAGGAGGGATTTCCATGCTCTCTGCACATCCATCAGCAAAAACTTGGATTTTTGGTGGCAGCTAAGGCTGCACAAGTACAGAGGGGTTGAGAGACCTTAATCATAGAATGTATTGGGTTGGAAGGGACCTTTAAAGATCATCTAGTCCAAGCCCCAGTAATCAGGGACATTGTTACTAGATCAGGTTGCTCAGAGACCCATCAAGCCTGACCTTGAATATCTCCAGTGATGGAGCCTCCACCACCTCTCTGGGCAACCTGTGCCAGTGATCTACCATCCTCACGTTGAAGAACTTTTTCATTCTAAAAGCCTAAATCTAACCTAAATCTACCCTTCTTTAGTTTAAATCCATTACCCCTTGTCCTATTGCTACATGCCGTAGTGAACAGCTCTTCCTCAGATTTCTTATAGGCACCTTTCAGGTACTGGAAGGTCGCTATAAGGTCCTCCCTGAGCCTTCTATTCTCTAGGCTGAACAACCCCCGCTGAACAGCAGGAACAGAAGATAGGTGACTCGTGGACAGTCTTAAAAATGAATTAAGGTTGGATTCACATACGAAGCAACACCCAGGGTCCTGCTTAGCCAAAGGGACAAGGCAGTCTGGGCCATCTCTGCAAACCTATACACCCATTCAGGTGCTGACAAGGTGGAGAGCTGCAGCACACTGGCCAAGCGGCAGCACTGCCGGTGCCACGAGGCAGATGCAGCAGTGGGCGGCTCAGCACATGCACAGCAATCAGGGCTTCACACAGGGCAGAAGCAGACAAGTGGTGAGGAGCTGTCCCCCAAGAAATGCAGAGGAGCTGATGGAACAGGCAGCCAGCCACTCACCCAAGCTGCAAAGCCTTCTCTTGCTATGGCTCCCCCTGGAGACCTCGGTACTGCTGCATCCTGAAGTCAGGATGTGTATGTGCAGCCTGCACATACCTAGACAGCCAAAATCTCAATTCTCCCTCCTCCCCACAGAGAAGCTGGGATAAATGACGTTGCTCTATCTATTAGTTAGACCACAACAACGTAAGCAAAGGGGTTTCTTGCATTGTATTTTAATAAAATGTTTTTTGTTCCAAGATCTTGTCTTTTCTGGATGAAAAGGCAAGTGCATTCATCGTGATTTAATCAAACCCATTCATTTTATCTTTGAAGTTTGTGCCTGTGAGAAATGAAGGATTAAGCAAAGACAATAATGTCAGTCAGCTCTTTTGAACTGAGTTCACTGTTACATTACAAAAACCTTTCCTTACGAATGTTTCAAGATCAAGCCTGATAGAAGGGAAACATCTCCATCTAGTGGAATAACCCAAAGCACACTTTTTTAAACACCTCATGCAACCTGAACACTTTCCTGAATTTAAACTGTTATAGTGGCTCTGAGGAAAGAAGGATTTCCTCCTTGGTGGTCTCCATTGTCATATCAAGGCAGGGTTTGTGCAGATGGTGAAATTACCATCAGAGTAGCCAGTGTCTAAAAAAGGACTAGACCTTTTTCCATATGAGAACAGCATTTGTTGTGAGCCCTGGGGAGGATAAAATTGTAAGGGTTATCAAAGCTTGTGCTTCAGGACGTAATATAATCACTGGCTGGAAGACGCTGGGAGGAATTCCCTCTTTGTACAGCACTGCATAATTAGGGAGGTATATGAAGTGCTCAGAGTTGGCCACCAAAAGCAACCAGATACCCAGCTGCTATCTATGGATCACAGCTCTGTGCTGGGGTAACAGTTACCACGTTTCTACACAACAAAATTCTTCCCTGGGTACATGGAAAGTGCACAGATGCAAAGGGAGCTCTGGCCGGGTTTCTATTTCAAGTGATGTGTACAACAGCAGTTGCAGGTGCTAAATCTCTCTTATTTTTGTGATCAACGCTGAATCTCTGGATTGAAATGCTGCCATCATTACCTTTTTGGCAATGTTGCCCATCGAAGCCCAGGGGACAGTCACACTCGTAGCTGTCCTTCTTGGGAATGCAGGTGCCTCCATTTGCACATGGTGAGCTCACACAGGGGTGGGCAGCATTTGCTAGGTTGATTCCAAAAGTGAAATCCCGTTTGACATCGATTGTCCGGTCATTCAAAATAATCTATGTGTTAAAAAACAAAAATTGGGAGGAAAACACATGCTAAAAACTTCCAAATTCTCAGTATTGTACTGTTAGTGATAAGAATTCCCTTAAAGAGTTCAGAGAAACATAACCCTCAAAACTTGGCCAAAATTTCATTTCTTGTAATGTGTGTTTTCCAGTCAGAGGTCCAACTCATTCTGTTGTTCACCTTGACCCACTGGAGATTAATTTCTTTTGTGTTTTGTGATGCAGCCTTAGGCAACTCCCCTATGGGGTGAAGCTGTGTGGGATTTACCAGTCTTGCGTCTGAACACTGGCACAATGCTTTGTAGCTGAGCCGTGAGGTACGACTGTAAAATTAGATGAGCACTGCTGAGGAAAAGCATTTCTGGGATCAGGAAACCTCCCAGGAGACAAGTGTTGACAACAGAAGTACTAAGCAGAACAGCTTGTTTTTTCACATTTTCTAGTGTTTTCTAGTACCTCATTTTGCCTGAAAGAAGCTAGAGTCAAGATGGATGAAAGACATAATTAATGACTTCACAAAACTGTTTGTATATAAACTGAAGAGAATTGTTAAATGTTGGGATTTTTCCAATGTGTCAGCAACGTATGTTCTCCAGTATAAACTGACATTTGTATAATCTCAGCTGGTATCTCAGCAGAGAGTTTACATGTGCATACAGCTTCTGATCTCAGCTACATCAAAATAAGAAGTCCATTTACACAAACAAATAGATTTTAAGGCCAGAAGTAAGAATGGAGATAGTTACTCTGGCTCCTGCATAACTTACACGATGCACCTTTGGGGGTCCCTCTGGCAGGAGGGGCTGCACTAAGCACACATATACTCTGTCTGAAACAACTCCAGCAACAGAAAAACACCCAGTCCTGACGTAAAGTGAAGACTCCACTACTTTTTCAGCTTCTTTCTAACTTCTGGCTACGTTCTTCCAGAGGTGAACAAGCCCCCACTCTTAAAAATACCTTATTTCTGGGCTCAAATTTACCTTCAGCTTCCAGTCATTGTTTCTCATTATGCCTTTTTCTGCATCATTTCAGAGCCAGGTACTCAAAGACATCTCAGCCTCATGTAAGAATCAGCAGACCACAATAAAGTAACTTCTTAACCCTATCTGAGTAAACTAAGTAGACTGACATCTTAGGTCTTTCTATACATGGCATGTTATCCAGTACTTGGTGATTTTTGTGGGTTGATTTCTACACAATTCTCCAAAATCCTATGATGTGCAAACACAGCAGTCAACTAACAGTTTCCCAGTGCCCAACCAGCAGGCAACACTCTTCCTCGACATCCAGTTCAGGCCTCTGAGAAAGCAAATCCACCTTCCTAACTACAACACAGCATCACAGGCTCACACTCAGCATTACCCAATCCTTACCAGTGCCTCTGTGCTCTAGAGTGCAAGCCCTCACTTTTAAAGTGTGACTTATTGCTCCTAGACTCCCTATCCTGCACTCCAAAATGCACCGTATTTAGTGAAGTCCGACTTTCCACTTATGCTCATGTAACTGACCTGTTCCCATCACAACACCACACTTCCCCAGTTTTCTTGAACTTTATGTTTTCTGCTAGACAGCTGACAAAGATAGTGAAAAATGTCGGACCAAGTCATGAAACCATTTACACTGATTTGCAATTCCCTTTCTTCCCTTTATCAGTTGTCATGAGATCCACTATTAGAGTTTTTCATTTGCTAAGTAAATCTGATGCAGTAATTCCCTCATTTAAAACTCGGAGGACTCAGGACCAATCTTTAAGTTTTCAACCTTTCACCTTATTTATTAGGACTTTATATGAATTTACAGATTTATTCTGCAGAAGAGAACTGCTGCCATGTGCAGCTGACTCCACTGGAACATCATTCCTAATGTCTGCTGACAATGAAAAAGATCTCCTCCAATATATAAAAATATATAACTTTGTAAGAGGGGAAGGCAAGGAGGTGTGCAACTGCTGCGTGGTACAAGACTATGCTAGCTGGACTGGGATCCACTTTAATTTGCACCTTCTTTTCCACTCATTACTGTATTGGATACATGAGACATTTAGCTTCTGTTCATGAGCACTGCTTCTGTTCATGAGCATTGCTTCTGTTCATGTTTATATATGATGCTACAGGGCACTCTGAGGACTCTAATCTTGAGATAGCTTTGTGCATCATTCCTAACTTGATCCCTGTACAGCTTCCGCTCACTTAGTACAGTATGGAAATTAAAAGAGACACTGGTAGTGGTAATACTTAGTGGCTATTAAAGTTAGAATGACTTTTCACTGTGAAATATGTGTTTAAGCACTTTGTGGTGGGCTCTTGAGGTGAAATCTTGGATTATTTTGAGTATTAACAGTGGTTAGGGCAGTTTTCCACCTAAAGTGTGGACTGGATGAGATGGAAATAAATGACTCTAGTGTGCTTCTGTGGACACATACCTTTTGGATGCTCCCACTGAAGGGTCTGAGGATCCCAGAGTTCTTCTTCACAGCATCATAACTAGGGACTCCGCCAATAAATATTTCAGAGCTGCACTTAATCTGTGTGAAAGCCCCCTGCAAGAAATGTAAGAATAACATTTTATTAGAGTAGCTGGAACCATGCTTGTATCTTCAGATTAGCCTACATTAGATGTTATAGCTTACTTTAATGCCTCTTTACTCCTGTTAGTTGCATTTTGTTATACAATTCTCTCAAGAAAGACACTGTAGGACATTCTCCACTGACTGTGCTTCATCCTAATCAGAACTAGCTGAAAAATCTCAAGTATTTCAAAGTGGGAGTACTGAAGGAAGAAAGAAAGGAGACTGACTCATGATTTCTCACTGCACATCTAGCTCTGTCTGCAATGACTTCTGGTACATTGATGTAAACCTAGACCCAGAATGAGGTTCATAAAGTTCGAATCAGAGGAAAGTCCATGCAACAGAGACTCATTTAATGTTTCCAACATCTAAAAAGACAATTCATAGCAAGTTATGGTGCTAAATGAAAGAAACATTGAGTGTGCATTAGTTACCAGAAGCAATTGCTCAGGATACCTGATGGGACTACTCAGGGTCCTGGAGTAAACAGAAAGACGTTTAACAGCAGAGGATAGACAGGGTAACTGTAATTCCCATCCTGCAGAAGCTCCTGTGATTTCTTTGTTGGTAGCTCCCAGCCAACCTCCTTCTGCAGCTGCACTGCAGCACTTAGACAAAAATGGGAGTTTTCACCTCGACTCATCTACCTAAAAAAGTATTGACTGCTCTGTTTGAATGTTTCCACTCAAGCTGTTTCTTATATATTCATACTTTTCAAGAAAAGTCTAAGCTTTAAAAGACTTTCCAGTTTGCGGAAAAACCTGCAGATGCTTCTGCTAACAGGATCTGGAGTCTATTTTTCTGGCCACGCTTTCCACTAGGAAAGAAGAAAAGACATTTTCTAAGCAGTTCTAGCTTCAGGTTCTCGGGACTACAAAAACCACCTCTGTGCATACATTTGAGTGCTCAGAGTCAATACCCTGCTTGGCACAAGCAAAATTTCATATTATTACAAACTTGACTCACTATGACCTCTTGATGAGGGAAGAATAAAATGCAAGTCATCAACTGCTGTGACAATTCCAGCCCTTACTTTGTCCTGAAAATTACCTTTGCAAGACGAAGACAAAGAAACAATTCTCTTTTGGCCTATCTTTCCAACACAACACTCAGAGAGAGATAAAAACAGGACTTTATGCACATATTTTTCAGTATCATCCTTCTCCAGATGATGCATTTCATAGTGCTCAAGTTGCTCAACAGACTTAGCCACAACCAGTGAGTAGCAAGTAAAGAACCTCATGAACACGTATGAACCTAATACAAAAATGTGAGTCCACTTACATGGCAAAAGCAGGTACAGTTGTGATTTCAGCTGCCTTTACAAGGATCCCCAACCTCACAGTGAAGACTTCAAGTGCAAATTTCCAATTTTGGGCTTAAGAAAAAGTTGCCCTAGCATGTACACTTTCTTGAGCTTATAAGAGCTTTGAGAGCAACCTGTGCAGTTTAACATGCAATCACTGTATAGTGTAACAGCCATATTCATGACAAGCTATACCATATGCTCACCTCTGCCATCCCTTCCACTGGTTTTTGTTTGTCCACTTGTAGGATACCATTCTTTGCCGTGCGAGACACTCTCAACTCATGCCACTGACCCAGACTGACAGGTTCTTCACTCCTGTTTCAAGGGGAAGAAAACTTTCAAGTATTTTATGCTTTTGCCTTTCTGGTATTTTCAAGTATTGCTCTTATGTTAAAAAGTCAAGTCCTCTGGGATGATTTTCTAAATAAAAAATAGATACAAATCACTGTGTTTATTTCCTTATAAGGAATTAAAATAACTTCTGAGCTGCACCAGCAAAGGAAATTAAGACCATGTTCCTACAGCAAATAACAAGCACTCTAATTTTATTTTTAAATGAAATGTGTCTATAATCAGCATGCGTTTCATCTACCTCTGAGCTAACTTTTCTGCTCAGTCATTTACAATACATAAACACGTATTTTTGTCTCAGCTGTACATCCTCATTTCACCATGACAATAAGCCTAGAGATAAAGCTTCCCACTTAATGGTCAGTCTAGTCCCACATTCTTCATCCTCTTTTAAAACAGAACGACTTTGTGTTGGCTTATCAGCTCTATTTATTCAGCCTGTTACAGTGACATCTACGCACACACCCTCACACACACTCACACCCACACACACCCACACACCCCTGGCTGTTGTGTACTAACAGGAAGTAACTAAAATATGATCCTAATGATGTGATGAAATCCTGACTAGGAACAGTAATTCCCAGTTGTGCAAAGTATTCACCAGTTTAAAAGGAAGCATTTTAAAACTGTTCTTACCATCTTTATTAGTTCAGAAGTAATATGAATAGCTGCCTGTATAAAGGGCAAAACCACATTCCTCTTTACAAGTTCCCTAGAACTTTGTATCTTGTTTTGAAATGTCATTTTACTACACTGGTTAAAGCATTTTATGTCTAAATGTTATCTTCCAGCCTCTCCTCCAGGAGCAATGAAAACTTGTGCTTGATTCACTGGTCAAGCTGCAAAAATCAGAAACCATGTTATCTAGAACACCTGACGACTTTCCAGCTTTCAGTGAGAAAATATAAAATTGTTTTGGGTGAAGTAATGTTTTGTATTTTCAGGCTACTTATATTTAAAAAATAAAAAAATATAAAATTCAAAATGAAAGAATTGAAGAAACTGTGATTTGAAATAGTGAGTCAACACTGATTCAAATGCTGACTAAGAAGTTATATTATTTTGAAAACATGAAAATAACAATTTTGGGGGTGGTTTTGTGTTTTTTTCTTTTGAAACAATCAACATGAGCTTTAAAATATTTTTCTTGTATCTACTTTGCTCCTTCAAATTTTCTCAAAGCCCATTTTCATCTTTTTCAATGACATCTGGTAATAGTACTTTGACACCTGGTTCAGAAAACCTTCATAAAATATATCATCAAGCAATGACATTTGCTTAGTCTTTTTATTATGTAGTAGCACTTAGGGTGTAACTACCCTGGGTAAATCAATAGGTAACAGAATTTGATCACCTTGAAGAAGTCAATATATACATATAAAGGAACCAGATAGGTTTGGCTACCAAATAACTGGCAATACATACATTTTATCACCTCTGCTGATTAGGTCATCATCATGCTAACCCTCCTGCTCTGCTAGATTTAATTACAATTAGGGTTGATTAAGCCTCACAGAGTCATCACTTCAGAGTTGCAAGCTGTTTCTTGGATTCACAGCCTTTTTGAAACCAGCATGCGTTTGGTAGTGCTTTCTGTAGGCATTTGAACACTTCTGGCTCTTCATGTGCTGTGGGGTTAAGGTTTACTTTTCCCTGCACAAACCAAACCTTAAAAAATAGTCCAAATTATGAAGATCTTGATTCTGTGAATGCCTGGCCAAGGGAAATCCCAGGGGACAACAGATTCTCCTCTGAGACACTTTGGCAAACAGCTCAGGTTCTGCATCCATCTGCTGGCTCGGCATCTCTGCTTCCTCCCAAAACCCCTGCACACACCGTGCTGCTTCCATCCCAGGAAGTTTCAGGCAAAACCCAGGTTTCACCAGCATCAGCTTTCCTACTGCTGCTGCTGCCATACGTAAATGAGCTTGCCTCACCATTAATTATAAAGACATTATAATTGTGTTCTGATTATAATATTTAACAACCTAGTCCTACAGAAGAGACAGTGATCAGAGTTAGATCACCGTTTAGGACAAGTGTAGGCATGAAGTGTTATGATGAAGATCAAGGTAGACTTTTAAGTAAGTGGATGCAGGCACAAAAACCAGGGAGTCTATTTATCTTACTTAATCAATGGCAGGTGATGACAGGGTGCGAGTTGCACACGTTATCTCAAAAAAGGAGCTAAACAGGACATCCTGAAAACTCGCAATGAAGCCTGCTGGTCTCATGAGACTCCTTCATTACCCAGCCATCTCTCTCACCACACTCCTTCCTCACTGCTCATTGCTCAGGTGCTAGCTGGTGTCCTGCTCACTCTTCTGCTCTACAACACAAAGGGGCAGCTTCCACTCCCAGGCACATGCTTGTGGCTCTTGCCATGTTTTACAAGCCTAGATCTCAGTTAAACTTTAGTTCAAGTTGTTTTGAAGTGCTAAAATATTCTTGAGGGGGAAAAAAATTATGTTTACTTTAATGTCTTGTGGTTGCCAGCAATAGGAATTAGACAGCAGTAATCAGAAAAAGATTGAAGGCTGTTGTAAGAAAGGCCATTTTGGGTTGGAGCAAAGGTCTCTGACATTAGCTATTTCTGCTGCTTTTCAGCAAAAGAAAAGAACAGGGTAAGTCTGGAGTGATTCTTCTCTTGATATATCCTCCCGGCTTCTGGCAACTTGTCATTTAGCAATTTCCTGAGTCAGAGGCTGCATCTGTACAATTGCGTTTGATGTCCCTCAATGGAGCTTTCTTCAAATTTGTCTAATGTTTTGGGTTTTTTAACCTATTTATAGTTCTGGCATCTGTAACATGCTGTGACTACCCATTTCCAGAACATATTTATGTGCTGCCTGAAAAAAAAAAGTCTTATTTTCTTTGTTTGCTGTTTACTGGTTTGCAGTTTAACTGAGCTCCTTCTAATTTGCCCATATTGAAAGAATACACAAAATCATTCCTTATTTATCTCCATGTCTTTCACAATTTAAAACCTTTATCATACTTCCACCAAACTCTTTCTTTTTCAGGTCGAAGGGTCTTGCTGCATTTGTGGAAGCTGTTTCCTTCCCCCCCCTGGATAACAACACTACTCTTTTTTTCAGTTTTGCTAATTTCTTCTGAAATGAAGTGACCAGAAAGGCAGCAAGTTTTCAAGACAGGGTGCATTGTGGATTTATTTGCAGAGGCACTGTTCTTTATTCCATTCCTAATAATCCTCTGCATTGTACTTACATTTCGGTATTTGCCTCTAAGCAGTTAGCTGCTGCTTTCACAGAACTATCCATGATGCCTCCAGGATCTCTGTCTGACCACACTAACTGCATTGCCACAGCTGTGCGTTGTTAGGGTTGGGCATTATTTTGCATTTGCTTCCTCGAAATTTCACCTCACATGTTGTCATTTGAATGGGTTGGTTTGCTTGAGTCCTCATGCAATCGAAAATCAGCACGTTTCTCCTAATCACAGTATAGCCAAAATTACTGACGCCCATCCACATATGGTATGCAAGACTTGCAGGCAGTGTACACATTTTGCATACGCTTCATATAGAGTCGTTCTAAGTATTAGGTCAACCTGGCGACACTGGCAGCCTCTTGGACCACATCCACGGTACTGAGTACCTCTGTTTGGCCCACTGCCTTTTCAGAAGAGCCCAGGGAACAGCTGTCCACAGATGGGGCACTCAGTTACACACAGAGAGAGCACCGCTTTTGGAGGCATTTCACAGCTCCTGTCCTAGACATTAATTTTGGGATATGACAAATCATTCTCAAAAGGTCTGTCTTCATCTGGGAGGCTGAGTAACTCGCGTAAACCATATTTTTCTCTTTTAGGCTATTTAAGTTATGTAAATTGGATATTAGCCTCAGAGTCCCCAAAACCTAGCACTATGAGGAAAGAGGAGACCTGGAGATGTATCTTCTTGTAACACCTCCAGACCAGTACTTACTGCCTGAAACTGGAGGCCAGGGAGAATGCTGCTCACAAAAGTGCCTATATTGTGCAATCCTGAGGCTAGAAAGTATATGCATAAAATATTTATAGATCCCCTAATTAGCTATGGTACAATGTCATGGAGGCACAAAGGGATTTTCTGCAATACCATTCAGAAACAAAAGTAATACCTGCAGTAAGATGGCGGCATGACATGGCAACACTGACAATAAAGCTTTGAAACATAAACTTATATAGGAGGAAAATCCTATCCCCCTGCATACAGTTCTAGTGTTTCTGTGCTTCCTTAGAAGCAGACACTAGAGACTGATGGGGTCCTCATTTCAGGCTATTACTCTTCCCAGCTCACCCCTCCCCTGGAACAGCACTGCGGCACTGTTGGAAAGGAAACACAAGCCACGCTGTTTACCTGATAACAGCCGTTCCTGAGCCACAGTCGAACCTGAACTCCACGTAACCAGACACCATGTTAATGGAGAGGAAGTCCTTGCTGTCTGTGTCGTAGCTGTACAAAAGGACACCAGTCTCTAAGTCTGGACGAAATGTCATCTCAAACTCCATGAAGGAAAGGTAATTCTGTGGTTCCAAGGGCCAGGGTGTGCTAGCAAATGACCTTAAGGACTCGTTGAACTGAGGTATGGCCAAGGTGAGCGCTGGAAATCCAGAATACACAAGCAGGTCACTTGAGGCTCAAAGGTAGCGGACTGTCTCCTACCAACTAGTGTCAATTCCCTTTGTTAGGTACCTAAAGCTAATGTTAAGAAAAACAACCTAAAAATTTCACCTTCCAAATTAAAAATATTTTTTATCCTAGCCAACACCGCTTCCCTCTTTGTATTTGTATTACAAAGCTTTGTGCTCCTCTTCTTTAGTGATTTATCATAGTGTTTTTCTAAGTAGCAAGCATGCACACAATGCAGGTGATAGCACGAAAGTTCTGCAGCACAGAAAATAATGCTGTATGTATTTGTCTGTTTTCAGAAGTTCGTGATTTCAATAGGAAAATGATACTGGGCCCTTTGCATTTCAGAATATACAACGGCCACTGGTTTTAGGGAAAAAGTGAGGACATTTTTAGAGTTAACGTGCAGCTGTGGAATGGTGCATTATTTTAACTTCCAAAAAGTAAGTTTAAGATGCTTAATTATAGTTAGTTTAAATAAGCAAGGAGGTTTGAGAAACACTGATTATGTAGGAGCTGGATGTAGCTGCAAAGTGAATAGTGGGGGAAGGCTTTACTATGTGATTTCAAAGATGAAGTAATGAGTACTCTCTTCTGTCAGTGTAATAGCATAAGACCTCCGTGACCTTCCAAGACTTCCTGTGTGAAAAACATACTGAACACTAAATAACACATACAAAGAAATATAAGCAGCCCAGCACCTCCTCACCTTCTTCACAATGATGACCTTTAAATCCAAGAGGGCAAAGGCAAATGTATGAATCTGCTTTGCTTGCAGTACAGGTACCACTATTGATGCAGGACGCCTCGTCACAGATGCCACTGCTACACTCACCTAAACACAGAGCCAGAACATTGATTTATCAGAGAAGTTTGTCAAAGAAGATTTATTTGGTTGTTGATCATTGCTACTAACCAATACAATTTGCTCTTCTGCCTAGATTCTTTCTTAACTTGTAAAAATGCTGTGCAATTTAGGCAAGGCAACTTGATTTTTAGTACTTTTTTTTTAGTGTGAGACAAGTAAGAGACCTTAAAAATAGAAAAAGTTAGCTTTTACTAGCAAACCATGACAGTTGTAGCTTTCAATCATATCCTGGATGATTTTTCTTCTGCTCTTGTTCCTATCTTTTTTTTCTCATAAAATAGAAATCTCTCTAGGTTGTTTACAAACACTGTGACTTGTTTAATTTCAATTACCTTAAGTGCTACTTTGTTCCCTGTAAATTCATGCTATGGTAAGCATGGAAGGTGTTCATCACATCCATCATCAACTAATCTTATTAGTTGATTCAGCATCATCATCAACTAATCTTATTACCTAAAATGAGGTTGTCAGCCCTCTTGTCTGCACTAAAAGGGATCCATATCATCAGCATATGGGCTTTCTAATAAGCATTTTTACTATGCTGGCACATCAACTGAAATAACAAGGACATTATTTCTTCTTGCTAGAATTATTCTGAAATTGTTGTAGAACAAATAACTTATTCATTAGTTCTTAAAACTGATCTCTATAAAGTCAGATAATGCAGTGGTAAAAAGTACCTCTGGTGAAGTTCTTGCTGATTTTGTTTATTTTCTTCTTTATTTTAGTTTTTGATTAAGTAATTCTCCCCTCGTTGACAGTAACAAACTGATCTTATATATTAAGAAAGCCCAAACAAGACATTTGTGGTGCACCAGTAAGTCATTTGGAGGGGCAAAGCTTTATGACAAACTAAGAATTGCACATCTATTTTGAGGCACATTGAATTATCACCTCTGAGATGACAAAGGTGCCATGAGGCAGCCCTGACAATAAACACTGGAGAACAGTTTTGTTACAAGACAAGTCTTGCAGAACTACTGCAAGAAGGGAGTATACCCTGTTGTTTTGTTTAAATACAGCCCTCTGATTGTAAAGACAGTTTACAGACCAGGACTCTACAAATCTTCAGCAAGGTACTGGTTCTAGTACAGAGCCAGCTTTACAGTTTGATTTCCCATCCCATAGCCAGAAAGAAAAGCACAGAGGAGGATAATGGCTGATGTGCTGGTTCAACCTGAACACTTTGCTGTCCACAATGGAAAATAACCTTTTCTTACCAACTCAGGACAGAGGCAGTAGTACCTCTCGGGTCATCTGGTACAACTCCCTCCCACACCACACTTGTTTCATATTGCACATCTGCAAATCTTCTGCCAGGCCCAGTCTTCACTGGGAACCTTCACAGAGGGGGAAGGTCTGAGTACAGCAGCTATAACGCAGGGCTCCAGGCCTAACCCAAGGTGCATAAGCAAAATGTGCAAGCCCCCTGGAAGAGAACAAATTCTCCTACATGGAAGGAGACAATTACCCCTTCAAACAGCTGTCCCATGCCTAGCCATGGGAGCAGGGATGCTCACAGTGCTCATTGAGACATACTTTTCCCCTTCTGGGCTGCGTTGTAATGGCCACAGTGAACTGGAGCAGGACAGGTATCCAGTCTCTGTAATCCCTCACATACGCACCAATTGTCATCACAGTGACAGAAATTATTAGCACTAGCTCTGTTTTATAGATGAGGAAACAGCCAAGTGGGTAAACAAAGACCTAGATGTACCAAGTCTGAGACACAAACAGAAAAACAAGACAACATGCATCTTTACTGCATCTGCTGTGCTGGTAGTCAATGCTGGCAGTATGTTCAAATGGACCAAAGTTAAACAAGTAAGTCTCTGAGAAACAGAAAGAAGAAGGAAGATAACAATAACATGACAAGTCACAAGCTCACTGGTTTGAGGGACAGCTTGAACTGGAGCATTCTTGGTATTTAAGAACAGGTTGCTCTCACAATGTCACAGTGACTTATCACAGGCTTCGGGCCTGCACAGGTGACTACATCGCAAAGGCCAACCACAGGTCTGGTGGCTGCATCTGCTTGGCTGCAGTGGCAGACGCAGTAGAAGGGAAGCTGCAGCGTGAGTACAAGGTCCTGCTGTGTTTGCTCCAAACCACAAGTGCTGCCTTCTCCGTCAGCCCCTCAGCTCATGGTCCCCTGGGACTTCTGCTGCAGCCAGCAGAGATGGTGCAGAGGCAGGATGGACACCTCTCCTTCCCACTCTCAATTCTGCGATTCGTGTACCCAGCAGCCCTGATTTATACACTGTGCCAACAGAAGAGAAACAAACGACTGGCTAGCAAAACCATCCCTTCACCCTAGTAAAGTTCACGTGCAATTTATCTATTTTAAGCTTAACTTATAACACATATTGCTTGCAAGTCTCTCCTGGCACAGTTTCATATAAGCGTGTGCAGTTACTTAAGGACAGTAAGGCTCTGTCGCTCAGTTTCAAGTCACACATGGCAGAACTCAGCATTTATTTTCATTGATGTTGACTGTTAACGCAGCAGTAAGTGGAGCATTCATGGATAGGAATGAAGATAGCTGCAACCAAAAAGGCAATATAGATTAGGGCTCAGAGAACTTCAGCAGGGCTTTCATCTATCTAAATTCCACAGATTCTCACTCTACTGTGAAATTACTCTCTGCTTCCAAAGTCTTATTCTTTTCAGCACCTATTTCTTGGGCCACTTTGTTCTCCCCCTATACTGCACAGAAGTTTGCACATGGTATCTACAGAATGCAGAGCAATTGTTAGGAAGTTTCTCATTAATCACTTCCTTCTTGAGATGCCAAATGCACAGCTATTGAAGAGAAGAAAGATGACTTTGTGGCTGCCATGGCATGGAGAGTTCAGTGATGTGGGATCTATCTCCTGCATTTAGCATTTGCTTTCTGACTGGGGTTTAATCTTACTCTTAAATTGTTTAGACTGGGAGGTCATTAAACCAAGGATTTGTTGTGCTGTCTGTTTTACTTGCATAAAATAGAGATGAATAAATAAGGCAGGACTAGTTAATTAACATCCCTATTTCTCCATCATTTAATCTGTGAAGGGAGATAATATTATAATACCACTTCATAAAGCTGTTGGGAGAATTTATTCCATGGTGTTTTTAAAACATACTGTGACTCTGGAAATGAAAACAACAGATAGTCAATAGGAGAGCCTATCTGTCTCAGCAGTAATGAGGTTTAACTGGGAAAAGAGCTCTGTAATGGCCACAGCACTGCTGTGGATTGGAAAGATCCCTGCATTGCTTTGGACAAGTGCAATGATGCCTTTAGGTAAAACACATTTTGTAGTGTCCATAGTGTTTTAAATACAATCACAGCATACATACTATTGATTTCTGATGATATTGTGTCAGTCAGGAGCATGAAGAGGCATCCTGAGAGATGCTGGCAGAAATACTGGTGCAGAGGTAATTATATTGGCAACACTGAGTTTCCTGTTTGCCCATGAGAACTGGTTCTATTTATTGTGCTGGATAACTGTGCCCACAAGGCGTTTTGGTATACTAAACAGTGATGTTTACTTTCACAGTGTGAGAAACTCTCCTGCTACAGACCCAGCAAAAAGAATTTGCAAAGGCACAACAAAATACCACGCCAAAAATAGAGACCGTACGTTCCATCTCTCAAACCTGGACCATTGATTGATTTTTATCAACAGGGAAAAATTCACCCCTGGTTTATCAGTGATTAAAGACCACATAACATTACACTTACCGACATCAGCACCACTAAGAGCCTTCCCTAATGGCCAGGGTCTCATATCAATTATCTTCCCATTGATGCTGAGTGACTGAACGCAGCCCTGGAAGCCACGGTTGGTGCCTGTGGCTCTGACCAGCCAGTATACGCTGGGGGCACCACCAATGTAGAAGGGAGTCCGGAATGTAATTTTACTATATTGGCCCTGGAGGGAAAACAGCACAACAGAGCAGAACAGATAAAAAACAGGGTAACTAATAAAGCCACATTGGGTATAATTGAATTTTTCTCTACAAAGAATTGTGCTAAGGGATATGTAAGTTGCTCATTGGTAATTCCTTTCTATTAGTCATTCCTACAATCAGTTTACCATTTTAAATGTTACTTTTTGCACTCATATCCATCACAGTAACATGGATTACTAAAGCACAACAAAAACCTTAAAAATCACTATGTTATGAGGAGGGATTGTGATTTGTCTTTAGTTGCAGTTTCTTCCTTTACTTTTGTCAAAATTGTTTATCTTCTAAACTCTAAGCACTGGGGGACCAATGTGATACTGCCTTTGGACAGAACCCAGCAAGTGCTTAGCATTGAATACAATGAAATTAAAAAAAAAACAACAGTAAAAACAAAGACAAAACAAAAGCCAATAAAATTACAACTTCAGTAGGGTTCTGCTCACTTTGTTAACACTAATTTTTTTCCCCATCTTTTATTTTGCTGTTAACCTGCCTATAGAAATGTACATACACAAGTTTACTAGCACTGCTATAGCACACAGGAAGGAAAAAAAGAACCACAAAACCCAGAACTTCTTGGGCCAGTGAATTAAACTCTGTGCTACTGTGGGCAATGGAGTCATAATTTCTTCCATAAATTGTTCATATCGTATGTCTTTTGCCTCCTACTCAAAGGCTGTTTCAAAACCCCACTGACCTTTAGAAGAAAACACTCAAAATTCCCACATTTATTCACAGCCATTTTTACCAATTTGTCCTTCAAACAGCACTGTCCTTTAGCCTAAAAGCTGACTGCATTTTTCACCACTGCTCTGCCTCCATAGTGTTTATAACAGTAAATTATATCCCCATAGTCTATTTTTGCCAGGCTAAATAACCCAAGGTTACCAAGCCTACAGGTTTTCGCTGCACAGTGCACTGCAGAAACACGTTAAATGGATCTCAGTTTCAGCAGGGAAAAAAATTTCAAGTGGAGCCTGTGGCTAAAGAGAGTTCAGATGTCCAGAGGGTTTCATGGTAGATATATGCAAGGGCTGTCAGCATACAGCTCTCCAGTCTGCCTCCAAACACTTGCCACCACCTGTGGCCTTTGATGCTGCTGCCCACCTTGGTCTGTCAAGCTCCACCTCTCCTGTAGGCACTCTTTAGACTGTTCAAGTTGAAATGAACCAGGTCAGAAACCACTACCACTCTGCTGACACTAATCCACTAACTAGGAAGAGCTGAGGAGGACTCACCAGAGTAACAATATTATGATAGCAGCAAGTTCTGGTGAAGAGCAGCACTTGGAGTGGAGCAACTAACTTTTTCTTCTGCTGTAGCCACAGCCAGAAAAATGTGTGTCCACTGTGAAACTATTCTTGTAATAGACTCTATAAATGATAATCATCCTGCTAGCCCTTTGTTGCACCTTTCTTCTTTGACTTCATCTTTCTCAGCTATGGGTGGCTGCTGTCTCACTGAAGTGCTGTACAATGGCATTAGTCTCTACTGGACGTATGTCTCCTGATTCATGTTTCTCCTTTGCACAGCCTCATAGCATTGGTATTTCATAGCAACAAGTGACAGACACTGAAATCCTTTCCTCTGTCATTTCCAGCTGATGAGAACTCAATGCACAGCACTTTTTTTCCCTTCAATGGTTGCACATGAAAGTGTGAAGCAATAAGATGTCTGAAGCTGCTCTTTTTCAGGACTAAGGATGGCATGCTAATAGTGGCTACCAAAGGGAAGAGGAAAGACATCTGAAACAATATGCAACTGTCAGTGCCTTAGTTTCACTTCTGTTTTCTGGCCTGGCAACAGATATGAGCAAGTCAAGACATTTTTCTCTGTTATGTTTTATCTTGGCAGCCTCATATGAAATTGCTTGTGCTAACGTAAGTCAGGGCAGAATGTCTATCTCCATTACTGTGCTTAAATCTATGTCTGTGGTATACATGTAATTAAAATTCTCTATGCAAACCTTGTGTGGCTATATGCACAATATACATAAATATATACACACATGCATCTATTTTTCTGGCTGAGGAAGCAGAGCAGCTCTCTGAGACCTGAAAAAGCAAGCAATCAGGGACAGCAGCTGTAAAACCTCGCAAAACTTTAACAGCAGCCCATATCTGAGACTACAGAAGGGTAGCAGAAGGGTGGCAGAGGAAGCATGGAGGAAAACAGGGAAACTATGATGGGGTTCAGTGCTGGGATATTTATCTATGTGATTTCTAGACTGTGTATGTAGAAGAGTAACATATACAGTGATAGTGGTTCACTAAATGCCCCAACCCTGACAAATAAAAATGTACCTTTAAAATCTGATCAGACTTCTGCTGGCAAAAAAAAAAAGTCTTCCTAATCTTGAGAGAGTCCAAGGTCGAGCTGCAGGTGCAGGATTACCTACCTGAGATTTTCCGGTCACTGGAGCATTGTTGTCCATCCTGAGCCAGCCATTTATACCATCTCTAAACAATGTGATGCTGTGCCAGTTCCCCAGCTTGATTTTGTTTTCACTTGTTATGACTGCAACTCCAGTGCCACAGTTGAACCTGGGAGCATGAGACAGAGAGTGCAAAGTGACACTTTTGCATTAACCAAATAACTGAAAGTTGTTTTTAGACTCTTAATATTCCCTTCACTTCTGGGAACCTCTCTGTTTCACACTGCGTATTACCACACCACAGGAAAGTTAGACAGCAGGTCTACATATGACCCGTTCTAAGTTTCAAACTTCGTTATCTTTCTTTCTCCCATGGAGAAGATTTTGCATTCTCTGGTCATACCAATACATTGCAAAGCTTGCCAAGTGCTGAAACTGTTTCAAGATGCAGGGTATTACAATCTGAGTTCCTGCTATCACTGTAATTTCTCTTGGGATTTTTCCAGCTCTTTGGTGACAGGCAGTGCTACATTGGTAACTCCGCAATTCCAAATGAAGTTCAGTACTGATTGACAAGGAGACCTCCAGGAGCGTCTCTGTGGGGCCAAATGTGCACAAAACGTGCCATTTTCTTTGACTGCTTTCAGTGCAGAAACACAACTAAGGCACATCACCCACTTAGTTACTCCCCATTTTCAAAGGGCTCACCCTCCCAAGTAAGAAGATCCTTGAGATACTCTTTCACATGCTCCATATTTATTGGACTGCAAGAAACCCCCTCCATCTTCATTTAAAAAACCTGTAACTCTCATCTAAAGAAGTTATATAAGATGAAGTTTCCAGCCTCTTGCTGTCATTAAATCCTTAATTTTGTGATGTTATCTGCAGAACCTTTTGCTGTGAAACAAAAATATTGACTATGCACAGCTCAATATAGCATAAGCTTAGCAAATGCAGTAGCTCACAGGCATTTCTGATAGCATAGCAATGAGTTCCAGACTAATTTGCCTTGAAGAAAACTGATCATTTTGCCTTTACATCAGGGTCTGAGTAAAAAGAGTTCAACAGAGCACATGTCCACACATTAAAGAAGGATGAGAGAAAAAAAATATTGAAGAACTGTTGAATGAAGTAACACTGTGCACAGGGCAGGAGTCAGACACAGCAGATATTCATCACATACAGCAGTCCCAGGAGGCAACAATGAACCTTTCTCTCTACAGCAAATTTAGGGTGGAGGTTTTACCTGAACTGGATGCTACGTCGGATGATAGCCAGTGACATAAAATCACCACGGCCGTGTTCATTTTCTCCACAGTATAGCAGCAGACCATCTTCTGATTCAGCCTGCAATCATAGCATCAACATGAAAAATCAGTCATAGTAACAGATAAATGCAAGCAGCGCTGGAGGGCTTTTCTCAAGAAGAAGGACAGCATTTTTAGATTGTGTTTTTAACTTGGTTGATGAACTTTGAATCCTGCATTAGAAAATCCTAGACAACATTTAGAACATCTCTTCTATTTACAGTACAATACTGTCAGACCTAAAAACACGCCTGAAAGCATGAAAGACTGTCAGTTATGTCCCATATGAGACCGCTGAGCACAAAGTCTAGCAGGCTGTCCTAGCAAGCCTGTGAAGCGTAGACACATCAGACAAAGTGCATATGAATATACATACTCTGCTTCACATATCTAATGAGCCTGACCCTCCTCAAGCTGAACAACAGGATTTCTCCATATGTGCATAGCAGCTGACACAGTGGCTTTTCACAGGCATCCTGCATTTTAAGCTGACGAATTGCCAGAGGAGTGTTAGATCACCCCGTGAGGCAGCAGACTGCTGCTGCTCCAGTGACAGTCTTGTATCCAGGCTGTGAGGACAGCAAATCTGCCTTACTGGGAGCAGGGGTGCATCTGAGAGCTCAGCCACTCTTGTACCAGTTCTGCCCATAATACACCAACAGCACTGACACAAGTCATGGTGGGATGTACCCCATCACTTCAGACCTGTAGCTTAAGTAGTCTAGTATCTTGCATGCAGCCGGTGTCCCAAACTTCAGAGGTGGAAAATAATGTCTACTTAAATCCTGCACGGTAGGAGAGGAACTCTGGATATAGAGCAGTCTTTTGCTTGGTACAACAAGATCACAGTTTCTTATATGCAAAGATACTGCATGCCACTTCAAAACTGTCATTCACAAAAATTCCAGATGTACTTCAGCCTGTAGCTCATATGCATGGCTATAACCTTGACAACAGACACTGCTGCTAGTCTGCAATGCCAGCATTACTAGTCCCAAGGATTAAATCCTGTACTGCCTACCAATAATGGATGCAGACACTTTAGCTCAGTTTACCAACTCCATTTACGCTCATTGAAGGTGAAGCCAGATCTTTAGAGATGAAGGCTATGCACAGGTCTATCACAATTACATTATAAGCTATACTGAAGCTTAAGTTATTGTTCTGTTGTCCACAGCAAATAAAATATAAAATAAGCAAATAAAATTTAAAGCTCCTGTGTGACCTTCAAATTGCTTAAACTTACCCTGAATTCAAGGGTAATTTGAAATGTCTGGTAAGAGTTTTTCAGTGGTTCAAAGGTGATGTATGAGTAGCCAGAGAACTGAGGATACTGGATAATAATATCTGAAAAGCAAAGGCAGAAGCATGTTATTTACCAGTTTTCTCCCATATATAAAAATTGATATACACATTTAGCCCTAGATAACACCAGGTAAAAATGAAAAGCAGAGTTCCTCCAGAGACAGCTATTGGTCAGCAGCAGTCAACAATCAACTAACCTTTTGTCTTGTCCTTCCACCACCCTTCAAAACTAATTTCTTTATTCCCAAGAACCTCATGAACTTGGAAAGGAACAAGATATTGAGGACCAAACACTGTTCAACAGTTTAATCACTGGCTTTTGTGGATATTTCTCAAGATTTTCATCCTCGTTACAGGAGACAGAACCCATCAACTTTACCTCATTTTAAGAATTCATTACACACAGAGATAACAAAGTAATCTTCTGTTTTGCAGTATTATAAAAACACGTGCTGGAAATATGGCCACCCTCTACGCCACATTAGTCACTGCTGCTCCATGGCTGCTGTGCCCAGCATCTGCAGAATCCTTGGATGGCTCGCAGAGCACAGCAGTTTCCAGCACTTCCCTCGAGTCAGCTCAGGGCAGAAGCTACAGGGAGTGATGGAGAGAAGAGAGTCCCTGCAGGCATCTCTCCATATCCGGCTGCAACAGTGGCTCTACACACTGTTTCTGTCAGCTGGCATTATCAATCCTTATCCTTTGTGTCTTATGGTCCATCCCGGCTTCAAAACAGAAAATCAGAGCCATGTCTTACTGCTGCCTTTGAAGCTCATTTTCCTAAGCATTACTGATGACAGACAGTTACAGGCCTGAATTCCTATTTTTGCAGTGGATCTAAGTCTAATGAGGAAGGAAGGATGAAGGGTCCTACTCCTTTTTGCTATCTGAATACTTAGTGGGTTTTTCTTGCGTATTTGGATCTGGATACAGCTCTGTGAGCTTTTTTTGTTAGCAAGGCATACATTTTAGGCTGAGGTGAAGAAGATCGGTGGTATAAACTTGAACCCAACCGCAGCAGACAGCAACTAACTCATGCCCTGATCACAAGCAGAACTGACTGGGCCAGAGAACCATGCAGCTGTTGATTGCAAAGAAAAGTCTGTTTTCATTCAGATTAATTTACTATTTAACAGTACTGGCTGCTTTGGAGAAATTCAGTACAAGGGAATACTGGTACATGATGTTACTGCCTACCAAGGAATAGCACACTCCCTTGTGAAAAATGATGGGTTTGGACTGACATTAACAAACCCGCTCTACAAGTTGTATACAAACACATACATATGTATAGAGCTCCAGCACAGGGAGGAGAAGATCAAACACGCTCAGTGTCTATGTCCCCGATGCATGACACTGTGCATCACAAACGTCTAACATGAGCCTGCAGAAGAACTGCGTGTCCCCAATGTTATGCTGTGTGGCAGGACCTTGGCAGATCAGATCAGCATGAAGAAGGATGGATCAGCTCTTTCTCAGCTGGTGGGACAGTACCACTACAAGCAATGGGAGACTTCTTTGCAGGAGCTCTGGCATTCATCTGACCCCCTGGCCACCAACCCAGAAGAAAAATAATTCCAAGAGGGAAAAAGAAAGTGACTTGCTTATGGCCTGGTAAGTCAGCTGGACTGACTCACCAACTGATCAGCTCAATATCAGACCCAGCAAATTGGAGAGGTTAGGTCTGCAGAGGGAGAGGACAGAAAAGTGGCAAGGGAAGGAGAAGCAGGGCAGCCTCCTTTGGTTCAGTAAGTTCCTGCCTCAGCTGTGCTGCAGGGAGGCAAGAGGACATGTGGCAAGTCCTGGCTGGGACAACCACACCACACCTCCTCCCATTGGCCCAGGCTTCAGGGCATACTTTCTAAGCTCTTTTTGGAGGGGGGGCAGTTGTGCCTCCCTTGTCCCAGACTGCCTGACACAAGTGCTAGGGCTACCACTCCAGCACTTCTGTCCTGCAGACCATGGGGAAAGCCTCCTCTGGAGATGGTTTTACAAGAGAGGCTCTGTCACACATCCCTGCTGTAGAATTGGCATCGTCCAATGGACCATGCTGGAAATGCGAGCAGTTCAGGGCTTGGGGTCAAAGAGGGGCTGAATGTCCCTGCTGGAAGCTGTGGATGACATGGCTGGACCCTGTCAAGCCTGGTGCCCACCAACATACCCAGCTCCATCACCCTGCCACTCCTTGGTGGGGAAAGGAGTACGAACCTCCTGTGTGCAACTTCACAGAAGGTCTGCATTCAATTTCATTAAAGAATAACTTCTTCACACCTAGCTGAGGAAAGAGAAGCAAAGGAGCTGATGCCTGAACTGGGATGTGGAAGCTGCTGCTGTCCTTAGGGATTCATTAAGCCCAGCTGACTATTTCTAAAGCGCACTTTGGTTGGCTCGTCATGAAGCCGTTCCTTGCCCCAGACAAAGAGAAGCCAGCAGCAGTGTGCACGCGGAAACCCACCTTCTGCACACGTCTCTCCTCCTTTTCCCAAGTTGCAGTGGCAGCGCGAGCCACCCCGGTCGTAGTCGTTGACACAAAAGCTGTCTGCAGAGCAGATGGCCTCATCGCAGGAGAGATCAAAGAGGCGTGTTGCAGAAGACACGCCGCCCCTCCGCCCTGCCCGCGCTGTAGTCGCCCTTGCTGTGGTTGAGGGCCGTGTGGTGGTGGGAGTGGAAGTAGTAGGTTCAGAAGTGGTGGTAAGAACCCGTGACAGGAGCCTGGAACTAGACCCTGGTGTGACCTTAGTTTCGACCAGAAATTTTCTGTTGCCCCCTTTGATAGCAGGAAGTGGTCTGAGCTGTAAAGAAATAAACAAATACAATTTCTGTAAAACCTAAAATGCTATGTCGAAATGGAGTTAATACCTTCCAAGATACAGGTGTGAGGTAATAAATTCATCCTCACCAAAGAAAAAGAAACAAACACATTTTTATATCTGAACCTATAACATCCGATATTAAACTTCCTGACAAGATCAGACACAAGATCTGTATTGAGACTATAAAACAAATAGAAATGCCAAAGTGGAACCTTGAAATTTACCTCTTCTATGTAAATGTCATAGTCTGAGTCATCAATATCAAATCCATCATCGTCACCAGTCACTGTGTCTGTGATATAACGATGTCCATAGCTTCCACTTCCTAACTCCTCTGAGCCTAGAAAGACACAACTGGCATAATCAGTTCACATATCTTTTTGCTCTTTTCACACTCATATCCTACCATCCCCAGGTTCGCCAAAGTGAAATCTGAAGTGGTGTTAATGTTCATCCTAATGTTCATCATTGTACAAACAATGCAAGTGTCAGCCTGAAGATGAGAGACACTGTCCAAGTGACATACACACACAACTTAAACCAAAGTGAAGACCTTCATTTAGTCACCTATTGTGATTCCCAAACCAAGCAGGTGAAGCCACTTCTCCCACTGCAAACTGACTTTTATCCATCATTCTTCCAGGAGAATGGCTCTGAACATTTTCAGGGTGGACAACGTTTTAATAACTGTATTGTTTTTAGATAAAACTTTTCCATTTTATAAATACACAGTTCTGCATCTACCCTACTGGCCACCAGATAACTGGAACAGCAAAAGAGATGCATCTAGGTCGGGCTTTTCTGGCACGCTCTGCCTAGGATTTTATCTGCCTCCACTGGCTCCAATGCTCCTGAAATTAGCACCCTAAATGTATTTTTAGACTATTTTTTAAAACACAATTTAGCACCTTGAAAAAAAGAAGCATGCAGAAGCATCATGCTTTTTTCATGTGCCCAATTTGCTTCTGCCTCTCCCTGAAGAGCTGAACTGCACTGTGAAGGACTCCAGGCTGAGAATAGCCAGTTTAAACAGAAAGAGGGTACTTCCAGAAATACCTGTGCTTTTCTGCGCTTTACATAGCAAATTCTCCATAAACTATAGTTTACATTGTTTAGCTATTAAAATTTACCAGACATCAAGAAGAAAGAAAATACAGGCAATCGCATCACTATCATGACTTGCCATTTCAGTAAGGCTAAGAACAGACAAACATTCAATAATCATTAAAACAACAGACTGCATACATTTGCATTTTCCATCACGTATTTTGCAGTCACTTAAAAACAGCATAGGTAATCCTGGCTTTACAAAGGCTCTTTACAGGCTGACCATGTGTGCTTATTTATTTTAGCAGCCACAAGTTGCCCATATTTTCTCGTAAGTTAGCAGGTCCATCACACTGCAACAAGCAGAGACCCAAAGACTTGCTGGGTGGTGGCTGTCTGCGAAAAGGAGACCTGAAAAGCCAGAAAATGCCACTTGATGGTATTGAGAGCTTCGCTACCACCACTGAACAACCCCAAGGATTCAGTGAAAGCTAAGGAGGCTCAGCAGACTTTCAAGGGGAGCACTCTGGGCCTTCAGGCCATTAGAGCCAGTCTAACTGGGGTCAGCCATCTCTACCTTGGTGGAGAATAAAGGAAAAATATCTCACTGACCTGATTCAGGCAGGAGAGCACTTGTCTAAATGTTATTGTAGTCTGTCTTCTTTGTTGTGACTGCAACCCAGAAATCCTCGCAGACAGTTATGAAATCAAGCATATGTGTACCAGATACAGACACATGCCCTGGCTGGCTAATTGGCTGCCCACCATACACTTCGTGGGTGGCACTTATCAATGGGCTTTACATGCTGCATCAGCATACAGAAAAATCAGAGGCAAGTGAGTAGAGGTAATGAGGCATACACATTTGCAACCAAAACAAGATGCTAGGCCTGGAGTCAATGTGTATAAACCTTTCTACTCTAACATGTATACCTAATAACCTGTAAATAATAAAACTTAATTTTGTATTAAACAGAACTATTCTGCACAGAGTTCTACCAACTGAGCTAGGCAGAGAACTCATCATTTCATGACTAGCAATGAGATGAGGCCAAGTGGACAAACAACATCCAGATTATTTCTGCTGGCGACTATGAATGTGCAGCCAAATGATTACTACTGGAGAAAGAGACTGCGCATTTATAAACTGGTCCCAGTTTCCACTATGGAAAACAGTAGCTACTATCAAAATGTGGGCAAAACCTCTTACTCCTAGTACTCACTTGCATAGTCACCATCATAGGACAATTTTACTCCAGGTAGGAAGAATAGCATAGCATAGCATAGCATAGCACAGCACAGCACAGCACAGCACAGCACAGCAGAGCACAGCACAGCACAGCACATTTCTGTTGAAAGGGACCTATAACCACCATTTAGTCAAACTGCAAGGTTGACCTCTTCCATCCATCGCTGCATCAGAATCTTCTTTGGAAAGTGTGACTTTATAAGACATGCATTTCTACAAATGAATTTCACTGTGCAAAACCTCAAACATAAACATTATAAAATGTGACTTGCAGAAATCATACAAATGAAGCAGAGCCCACCACTAACTCAGCTCCCTGCAGATGCAGCAATCTTCAGTTCACTGGAATACTGTTGATTTAAGTCAGGCCTATATTATTATTTATTGCCTTTATACTGTGTATCTGAAACTATTTCAGAACTAATTCAGTTCTTCTAATACATGAAACTGTGATTTACCTAAGAGTAATAGAAGTCATAAAGCTAAGCTGGAAAAAGGAAAGAAAAATCACAGTCATGTGACAGGAAAAACAATCTAATCTGTATTCACACAAGCTGTGATACACAAACTTCATTTTCTAATTTAGAGGTCACAAGCTATAAAATAAAAATCCATTGTAATCCATATTCTGCCACATTTTTTCTCTTCCCAAGCAAACTTTCTATTGGCTTAATGGGACTCAGATTCAATAATGGCAGGAATGAAGGAACACAGAGAATGAAGTATCTTCATATTCACATGTAGGAAAATGTTACATCTCAAATTCACATTGAGATATGCACACTTGCTTACGTGTACAGATATTATACTAATGCGATGCCAGTTCTACAGAAGTGTAACTCTCCTGATTTGGGTGGAGTTATCCCTGAACTACATCAGTAACCACCACTATGCAGTGAGACCTGGTAACTTAAGATGAACAGGCAGTTCCCCAGACAACAGTTCCCCTTCTTTCATCTGGCAGACCAAAATGTTCCACACTTTACTAACAGAAGACCTTGGGAGATGAAACATACCCACTATTTTAAACCACACAGTGACTCACTTTATTGAACTGGTATCACATTTAGACCCCGGAGAGAGCAACAATTTTATGGCTAAAGTGGCTGCTAGGGAAGACTGATTTAAAGCCTTTCTTTAAAGACCTTCAGGACGTAAGTTTGGCATCACCAAGAAATGTATAACTTTGGAAGGTGTCCTAATATTGGCAAGTCTCTAATATGGCCCCAAATTTCTGCTTTTGCTCCCCCTGGCTCCATCTGAGTTTTCAGCACTCTGCCTGCTGATGTGTGAGCAGTTCTGTTAATGCAATGAACCTGGAAGTGATGATGACATGGAGATGCACTCTCTTCTAACTGTGCTGAATTTATACCAGTGAGTACACACACAAATGATGGGACTCACTGGCTTCTCAGTTGCCTTGGTGCCTTACATTTGGTGTTTGCTCACTGGATGTGACACAATACCCACGTGTGACTTGATGGAACCAAACTGCAAAATAGCAGAAAGCAGAGAAGCTAACACAACTTTTTGTAGATAAACCCCTACATGAGCCTATCTCTTAAGAGCACTGTATAGCCTCAGTAGAGAGCTCATCTCATAATGGGTGGCAAATCAGGGACAAATAAGCAAAGTGATACTCTGCAAATACCAAAACAATGACTATATAGATTCTAAGTGTGCTATATTTCATTAATTCAGTGTTCCAGCGTACAAGGAGATGAAGCCTGTTTAAGACCCTTTACCAGGTCCTATAATCCTGTTTTATAATTAATTGGAAAACTTGTGGGGGGTCATGAACTTTAAACAACTTCTTTTCAAATAATCAGGGATTAAGTTATATGAAAGAAATCTTTCTCAAAACAAACGGAAACTCGCACAAACTTTTGTTTTGCCGATTAGATGGCCACCAGCACACTGATCAGGAGACACAGGAGAATGTAGAAGGTAGATCACTGGGCAGTGCAACAAAGGCAGACTGAATGGAAGTGTTAACAAACTGCCTGCATGTAGAAGGTTTAAATTCAAAATACGTCAGGGACATTTTAATCTGAGTTTTATTCTTGTCAGTGACTCACAGTGAGGCACTGCATATTGCTTGGCCTGTCTCTTGCTTTTTGTCCCTGTCTGTACAAATAAGAACACTGCCTTTGTAAAGCCTTTGGAGATCTGTGGGAAACAGTTATGTGCAAAACCTTCTCCATTTGCTATCTCCAAGGCACATCACCGTCATTTACACCAAGGTTTGGGCCCAAGGGACTGCTCTTTTCCTGTGCCTGAGCCCCAGCAGACACAGCCAAGCACCATGCAGAATATTTCCGCACCAGTGCCAACATCTTCCTCTGTGTGAGCCTGGCAGTGAGAGCCAGGACCAGAGGAAGGGATGTACCCAGATTAAGCAGCCACTTCTGTCACATTTGCTGTGGAGACAAGCAGGAAGGTGTTTTTAACAGAAGATGCTTCCTCTGTTGGTCTGGCAAAGCCCAAGGCTGGTGACCTACCAGCCTCAGTGCAAACCCCATCTGTTTCCCCAGCAGATGAAGGGTATTTAAGCGATGCAGGTGATGACACTTTGTTTGTTTGATTCTTTGGGACAGTTTATTCTGTTGTTACTGAACTTGATATGTGAAGTCTTATTTTTTCCAAGTAAATTTTTCATGACACATTGAAAAATTTTATATAGAAAAAAACAACCACCATATAAATGAAATACCTGCAATCTGCATCCGTAATTAAGAAAGGCAACAATAATTGATTTATTGCATCATTTCCTGCAATGAAAATGAAACCAAATAAAAAAGAAACCAAATTTTTTTCCTGAAAAAATGAAACCAAATCACAAATAAATGAGAACCCTTGGGGAAACTTGCCCTCTCTTTCCTCTCTGAAAATGGAGCAATGTAACATAAACCAAGCATGCATTTTTTACTAGGTAAAGGGGTAAATGCTTATAATCAAGGCCACATGTTTTACTTGCACAGACCTTGGGAGGTCTGTCACATTGGGTGACAGTCAGCAAACCTTCAGAGGAACATTTGAGCAAAAAAAGACAACTGTTTCTATGCTGACCTGAAACAATGCAGTCAAGAGCACTGAAAAGCACTCCACCTTTTAGAACCAAAATGAGAGGGTTACATGTAAGACTCAGGATAAACCCCATCAGAAGATATCCCCAAATAGTGTAGACTCAGTGTCTGCAGGACTCATATCTGTCTCAGTCCTGCCTAGGAGAGCTGTGAAAGACTCTTTACTCTTCAGTTAAAATAAGCATCAGAAAGGCATTAATTACTCCAAAACAAGCATAAAAATCCAGCATATACAAGCATAAAGCCACAAATTTTAAAAAATCCAAACACACTAGGGACGTTAGTGTCAGCACTACGTGGACTAAGTGTAATGCAAAGAAGCCTGACATTGTACAGACTTCTGCCAGCTTCCTAAGATATTTCAGCTATTTCTGAGGAATATACAGGCGCCCAGAAAATAACACCAAGGCTCTGTGGCACGTTTCACTGTTTACATGGGAGGAGGTACTATTTTAGTAATGAAGGCAGAAATTCCTACAATGCGCATCTCAAAAAGTAAAGGTGCATCATTTTCAGACATGCCAACTGCCTGGTACCCTTCCAGCGACCACAGGTGACCAAGAGTTATCTGCTGGCACTCTGAGAGGCATCTGGTGCCATCTGGGATGTATTACGGTACCTGGGACATCCTCAGAGGACTGAGGTGTAGAGAGAGCCACAGGAGGCACATGTCCTCCTGCAGTGACAGCTGAAAGCTGCATGACCTAGGAGACCCCACACCCACTGAATACCTGAGACACCGAAGTGAGTGATTAACTGGGACAAAGAAGGTAATCATTGGCTTTCTGGCTACTGGAAGGGGGAAGGTGCCTGCAGATACAAAATGTGAACTAGGGGTAAGTTTTACTTGGTTGCCCTTAAGCTTAGCATGCATTTTTTGTTACATTAAACTTGTCAACAGTTTATATCACTCTTTAGGGTTTTTTACTGTTTTGTGGAAAAATAAATGTTCAGGCTATGCATGGCTTTAATCAAGATTATTTTTTTTTCACAACAAAAGTTTAGCTTTTCTACTAATGCACAATGTACTTGTGTATCTGGTTAACATCAAACTAGTTTCTTACACAGACATCACCACTGAAGTCAAGTGAGAGCCGCTATACTCAGTTACACTCCTGCTTCCAGACAGCCACAGAACTTACTTCTAAAGGCATGCATCCTTTGCTGCCTTTGAACACCATTCCTTGCTCTCCAAAAAGCTGGTTGTTATGAAGACAGCTATTCACAAGATAATACAGGCTTCCATGGATAGTGGCTATATGCAGTATTTAAGCCCATTTGCAAAATCCACCCTGGAAGCTAAGAGCAGACTAGCAAAGGAACCATGTTTTCATTTGCCAAATGACCCACAGTTTGCCGAAGCAGCCTGAAGTACAAGAGACCTGGTGGGGGCTGGAGCACACCATGGACATGACACAGTCTCAGGCTGCAGCTCTGCAATCATGAGGGTCTGCCCCAAGCACTGCCAGCCTCTTGGTGCAGGGAGACCACCATCTCAGTCACAGTGGCACCCATGTACTCACCATGGACTGGCACAAAGGTTTTGCCTATTCAGAAAGCAGTGCAACATGCGTAGCACATTCACTTTTCAGATCTGATCCAGACACCGAGTCAAGCTCACACCCCTTGTGAACCTCTTCAGAAATCAGGGTTTATGTACACCAGGTGTGAATTTGAGTCCAAGCTTTACCGACAAAAACACATGTTTCAGAGCCATCTCGACAGATCTCTGGAGAACAGGAGGTTTCCACAGGCAAAGTGCCTTTCCTAGAATACCACAGGAATAAGTGCAGCATGAAGACTACTCCACCCTTATTAACAGAGCTAAATACTTTATCTTTTCTGACCAAAGAATGCAGCCACTTACATCCAGAGGCAAATAGGATACTGAGGAGCATACAAACATGCCTGAGGCAGCAGGAACTGACCCTTGAGGATCCAGATGCCAGGAACCCCAGAGCACACTACATCATCGTGGTTTTCACAAACATTTGCTTCAGAAGTTAAAATTACAAGTTTAGCAGCCATAACAGACTTCCTGAAAAGTGTTCAAGGGATCAAATTTACAACAGAGAGGTAAAAAAAATGGAAGCTTCCATGAAAACAAGGGATTCCAATATAGTAAAGCAATTTAGAGATAAATCCTTAGCAGGTTAAATTGGTGGATCACTAAGGATGTGGTCCACATTTCTGCAGAATACAAATTCTTCTTGCAGAGCTTACAGTCCTACCTGAATATCAGCCGCTCATTTTCTACCAGTTAATTAAAGATGATTTGCAATTGAGCGTGCAGGTGAGATAAGCAAAAAAATGTCCATTTTCTTACTCTTTTTTACGGTTCATTAATCTGCTAAAATTACATTCAGGCATTTTCTTGAGTGATATTCTGTCTCCTATAAATGCCCTCAAAACTGGAAATTAGAAGTACTGAAACCTTAAAAACACAATAAAAAGTTTGGCATATTAAGAACATAGCTCTGTTAGTCCCTGTACCCTGCCAGCCTTGGCTCTGCTTCCTGAATCAACTCTCTGTGTGACATGGGGTTTTTTGCTGTGCAAGACATGTGATTCGTACAATTCCTAACATGCTCTGTGTCAGCTCAATTGGGATTCAATTGGGAAGATATGACTTGGGGGGTGATGAGGAGCAACAGCACCTCAAAGTCAGCCCATAGAGACACTAGCACTGACAGAGGATCATATCCTGAGGAAAGCCATCAGGAGACGTGTGCAGGACCTACCCTGTATAGCAGTGTGCGCAGCCTATAACGCTACACAAATGTGAATATAATTGTTAATAAGCTGTAATTACTCAAGTACATTTTAATGCATTTTCACCTACTATTTTTGTTATGCAGCTTCTGATCAAAAATGGATGCTTACTTGTTTATGTCATTATTTTCATGATTGCACTTAATAGTTTAAGAGACTTACTCCTCAGAAAACCGTATAGATGTGCTTTGGTCTTTCCAAATTGTTTAAATTATAAATGTTATATATAAAGTTCAGTTAAAAAAACAAAACAAAACACCAGAATAAAAAGACGGAATAGATTTGTCTTGTTCATTTCTTCACGTGATATTCACTTATCAGTTCTGCATAAAGCCAACACAAAAGTCAGTAACTAGCGATCCAAACGTATCTAGCAATGACCTCCAAAGCAGAGAAACACCATGAAACACCAGAAAACTCTGTCTGGAGTTCTTAAAATCTTTGCTTGTGGCTTGACTTTCACAGGATGCTGCAAGCTCCAAGGACAGGACAGAGAGGTGTCAGCCTGGGGGAGCCTGTGCTTGGAGAGCATTTCTTTCCACGAGCAGCCCTCCAGATACACTTTATTTACAAATATACTTTATTTTTATATAGCTTTAATTACAAAAAGGTGGTTCTACTCACTGAACGTTCGGATGATGTCGCTCGGTGCACTGGCGGGGCTGGATCCATAGGAGTTTGCTGCTCGGACGGCAAACTGATATTTGGTATTTGGGAGAAGTCCCTTGAGGACCATGGATTCCATCTGAATCTGCTCTCTTATTACCGTCCAGTTGCTGTCAAGGTCTGGCCTTCAGGATCAAAAAAGCCAAGATCATAAATAATTAAATCTGGCTGTATAAATAAATTGCCTTTAACTTTCCTGGAAAATACACAAAATAGATGAGATATAAGCCTGCTAAATCACCACTGAAATCCTTCACTCTTAAGGGACCAGCCTGTGCAACCACTACTAAGCTGCAAAGCCTATGATATCAAAACTATAAAGTGATACAAAACCAATATTCAGATTTTAATTATAAAGCCAAAGAGGATTTTCAAAGGACAGTTTGACAAATCAAGTTCTGTTTATGTACTTTCATGGATTTCAGGTTCACAGTTTTCAAGGGGAAATATATCGCTTGCAGTTCCCAGTCTCCTATCTGGCTGTATTAAGCAATACTCTGCAACAGAGGGAAAGATCCTGGTTTATTTCTAAGAGTTTGTGCTCTAATGCCACTAAGTCCCTTCAAACATATACAAACATTAGCAGGATGAGAATCTAACATTTGATCTCCCAGGCAAGCAGGTTAATCCTAAATCTTCTCTTCACAAAACAAAACAAAAACCAAACCAGAATAATAATGCAGAGAACCTGGCCTACGTATTTAGATTTTGCAACAAAACACCCACATCTGCCTTTGGACAATGCCTGGTTAACTCCTGATCCATATTGGAATTCAACTGCTGGTAAACGCTTGCCCTAAGCGCTGTTATAATCCATCTGAAAACAGTACAACCATTCACATGGCAGTTTGGTCTCCAGAGTTTAGGTTCGTATGCAGAGGGACATCAGAAAGGTGAGGGCTACTTCAAATATTTTGAGAGAGTATTCTGACTCTTTCACACAATTTCTACTCTCTCTAAAAGTGGTCTCTTCTTATCAAAAATAGAATGGAATGAGAAGGTAAACAAATATAGACAAAATAAAAACATACACATGAAGTCTTGGACACCCAAAAGTTTCAAATTGAAGTCTATGAAAGTAAAATAAGGACAGAAATTACTTTCAGAAATTATTCCAGTGTCCTTTTCTAAGATGTGCTTGTGATATTTATTACAGGAAATAACCTCCAAGTGCTCCCTGAATGTACCAGTGTTTACATAGGACTAGCTGCAAATGTCTCCAACAGCTTTCCAATGAAAATTATAGCACAAGACAGGCATTTTGTATTTGTTTATTTGCAGCTGGAAGGAAATGCCAAAGCTAATGTATGTTTTCTTTTACTAGTCAATACAAGATATATTGATCCCTGAGGTTTCATTGCTTTGTGCCAGCAGGGCCAATGCAGGGACAAAGCAGCAGCTCCCGGCTGCCTGGCTCCTGTGCGCAATGGCGCACAGGGTGCGAATATATCACTGTCTTGCTAAAAATCAAAATAAAATCAGACAAATGCACACAAAGCAGTGACAGCAAAACACACCATCTTAAGCCTTCCTCCACCTCCATTTCCTAGTAGACAGGAGGGCATTTATTTTGACTACACTTTCATTGTTTCCCTTCTCTGAGCCTGGGCCAGAACGAAAATACATGGAGTTTTCCAAATGAAAGCTGTTAATGTTGCTTCCTTCCACATGCTTGCTTAGTTTTCAATTTTCCTGTACACATCTTTTTTTGGCTCTCATTCCAGCCCAAGGAATCCCTGCTAGCTCAAGAGATGCCTCACTGTCTCTTTGCAAGAGACCCTGCCGATGTCTGTGCCCGAATGGCAACAGGGGTCTCTGAGGAAGCGAAGTGAAGGAGTACCCCACAAAGATTTGGGAGGTAACGTAGGCTAGCCTTCAACTTCACTGACTCTCTTGCAAGACTTCTTTCTGCAGAAGTGAATAATAAAGGAAATGCCTGCAAACATGTAAGCATCTGCAGCTGAA